TGGTCGACCGTGTCGTCCTGCTGCTCCATCGGTGCAGCATCCCTCTCTCTCGAGAGATCCTCCTCGACAGGTTCGCCAGGCATGACAGAAGCATCATGAGATTGATCATTCAGATCACTCTGGTCGTGTTGTTGTGTGTGAGTGGCGTCAGGTGATGGTTGCACGCATTCCTGCGCATGTGGTGGCTCCGCACCCGACCGGCCAGCTGGTTCCACAGCCCCTGATCGATCGACCTGCTGCGCACCCATCGGCTGAACGGCTTGGTCGTGTGGTGGTCCATCTGCCTTTGCCGTCTCTTGTGGCTGTGTCGCTTCACGACCAGCGTGTGGCGGGTTAACCGCTTGCAGTAATTGCATGGGTAGGTGGACCCTCGCATCGCCAGGGAGACCTTGCATCACCCCCTTTCGAATCGACAGGAAATCATGATTGACAGGTACGACGTTGAACACGTCTTGCATCCACGCCGACACATTCCGCGTCGTGTGTATGTGTGTGTCGCCAGGCACGTACACATGATAGCCGTCCTTCATCGAAGGATCATAGCCGAGGATGACGCCCAGCTGGGCCTTGCCTTCGAATCGATCGTTCCGATCTCGCTTCGGCTTGTGAATCATCACACCGCAGCCAAAGGTACGCAGGTGTCGAAGATTGGGTTTCCACCCTTTCCACATTTCATATGGAGTCTTCTTGCCTGGATTTGCGGATGAGGGGCACACGTTGCGCAGATAGGCGGCGGTTTGGACGGCCCACGGCCAGAACTCAGACGGCAGGTTGGCATGTGTCAGCATCGCGACCGCCCTCTCGCACAACGTGCGGCCCATCCGTTCGACAACACCATTCTGCTGGTGCTCGTAAGGGACGGAGAACTCCATCATGATGCCGTACTGAGCGCACACCTCTATCAGTGAGAACTTCAACTCACGCGCATTGTCACTGCGTAGCCGTTCAGGCTTCCCTCGATGTGCGATGAAGCGACGAAGGGCTTCTTGCATGTTCTTGCCAGTCTTTCCTTTCAGGAAGAAGACAGTCACCCATCGGGTGTAGTCATCGACGAACGTGACGAAGTAAGTGAATCGCTCGATGAAGCTCGGGACGCAGGGGCCCACAACATCACAATGCACGAGTTCCCCCTTGTGTGTTGGGAGGGGTGATTGAAGGAAGGCCTTCCACCAGCCCGTTCTTGAGCAGCATGATGTTTTCCTGGGGTTCATGCCCGGGAATGGAATGAACATGCCAGTAAGCTGCGTGTTGCGATGGGATTGGTTGGACGGGAAGCATCACAGTTCCATGTGTGCGTTTCAGAGTCCCGGGGCGCGCCCGTATCACAGGAGCGGGTGACACGCTAAGAGAGCTTCTCGGGTCTTTAGTTCCGTGTGCCGCGGATCTAGGCGCAGACTCATCTTGATTCGGAGGACCATCAGCTGCGTGATGGGGAGGATGACCGATCAGGCCAGGACCTCCGGCACATGCTGCGAGTTGAGCTGACGGAACGCCCGACAGCGAGGGAGACATTAACTGGGCACCCATCTGCGTGGGGATGAGCCCGAGTGTTGGTGTGTCTGCCGTGAAGTAGCGACCACATGTATCGCAGTGGTGTCGTCTGTGTGGCGACCATAGGTCGATGGACTTTCCGCCCATTGTCTTGTGAATGTATCGATTTGTCGCTTCGATGTGCACCGCATCGCAGTGTGTGCATTGCAGCACGCCATCAGCCTTCAAATCACACATCAAATCACGCACGTGTTCTGAGTGCACGAACCAGACAGACAGACAGTCCCCTCACACGCACTTGCCCTCTTGACGGTTGAGTGGTCAGCCAGGAACGCCCCGACATCACACCCAGCCATCTGCACAACAGCAGGACGGAACGCCCGTCTCGCTGATGCACAGCCATCACTAACATGCAGGTCAGGGGATGCTTCACATGCCCCACTCGAGACACACACGGGTGGAATTGGTCTAATTAGCTGCTTCACAGCCGAAGTGCAGTCATTCCGACTACTCAACAAATCACTCGATGGCCTCAAATCACCAGACAAATCACTAGACAGCATCGCCGCCTTTGCACGCATCGCGTGTGGTGTCTTGTCAGTGTCGCATTCAGCGAAGTCCAGCACATAGACGCGTGTGGTGTCTTGTCAGTGTCGCATTCAGCGAAGTCCAGCACATAGAGATCACTCTCGCGCTTGAATTAGATGGTCATCCCTGTCTTGGTGTGGGCGATGTGATAGTCATCAGCATCAAACACCACTCGATAGCCATCGTCCTCCAACGCACTCACTGAAATCAAAGTAAACGCCATATCAGGCACCAGTAGAGCACGGGAGAGTTTCACCGACTCCGCGGCGAGGGGACCACACCTGTCTAGGTGGGTAGTACACGATGTTCCTGTGTACCTTGGCGCCACGTCGTGGCGACACCGAACGGGAACGACCACTTCCCCCACCGCCGTCACGGCGATGCTGCTGCCGTCCGCGACGGTCAGAGAGCGACCCACGAGTGTCTCGAGCCTGATGAAGTAACGAGAAGAGGGAAAGACATGCCAACTGCAGCCCGAATCAACCAGTGCTCTGGATTTCACAGATAACACAGCAGACGTGAAGCATGCAATGTGTGTTGTGCACTGGACAACTGAGGGAACCCCCTCCTCAGCTGCGAGTCGATGGGAAGTGGAGACCGGCAGAAGTTGATCAGGCTTCACCCGATCTCCCTCCCCTACGCACGGCTCTCTCTCAGACAAGCATGTCTGTGTGTCGTGTGTCGTCTCAGCGCGTCGATCGTTCCCGACCGGTGGCATCACCACATCACGCGAGGATTCTGAGACCTTGCAGCCATCCAACG